TGCCCTCCCTCACATCACACGGTTTCCTCACTTTTCTAAAAGATGTTATACCTTCCTGGCCAATGCAAAAAATTACCGACTTCCTAAAAATATTTCCCACCATTTTCCCCAATACCTCCAACCCCCCATTTGCTAACTCTATTCTGCTTTTAAGTATCAAATCCTTTTGTTCCCTAGGCTTCTTAACCATTTTCTCTCTAAATTTTTTTTTTTTCTTATTTTCAGCAAAATTTTTGGACTGCACCTCACCCATTCTTATCATTTGCTCTCCTTTTGCACTCTCTTCACCTCTTCTTTTATCACTTCTGCTGTGTAAAAACCTCTCATAAGTGACCTTTTTCTCTTTTATCACACCTTTCACCTCATCATTCCACCAATCACTCCTCTTTCCTCCCACACCCACCCTCCTATAGCCACAGATTTCTACCCCACATTCTAACAAGTGCATTTTTAAAACTATCCCACCCCTCTTCAAACCCCACACAACCTATATTCTCACTAGCCCACCTTTCTCCCAGTAGTTAATGTATATGTAATACAAGTTGAAGAATTATGTATCAAGTTAATATATGTGCAGTAGATATATAGATACTGTAGTAATTTTTTTGTGTTCCAATATAAACAGGATAAAAGTTACCTGATGCATGGGAGAGCAACAGTTGAATATTTGTAAATTTAGAGATAGAAATTAGGTAAAAGTAGAGAATGAATACTTGATTAAGAAATTCTAAAAATATATTTTATTAGTATTACTGTAATTTAATTTTTCATTTTCAGGAATCTTATTGTGATGTCACTATTGCCTGCGATGGAAAGTTCTACCCTGTTCACAAGCTGGTTTTATCAACGTGCAGTGAATATTTCGAACAGATGTTCGAAAGGACAAACTGCAAACACCCTGTTATAGTGCTTAAAGACATTAGACATGAGGAATTAGAGGCTCTTCTAAATTACATGTATGTAGGTGAAGTAAATGTCCTTCAGAATGAATTGGCTGGCCTAATAAAGGCAGCAGAATGCCTAATGATAAAAGGCCTTGCGGTACCTGATGAAGCTCCTAAAGAGTATAAAGAAAAAAGAAGTTCGTGTGTCAGAGAAGATAGTCCCATAGCAAAGAGAAGAAAGAGAGATGAGGAACCAAGACCGTTACCCTCTCAAAACCTACATAGAGAAAGCAGAGAGCCTAACACAGTTAGCTCAAATCAATCCCAAAGACAATTAACGAGTGCCTCTATACCAACTCCTTCCCCTGCTGCATCCAGAACTACTGCCGTACCCATCTCTCCTTCTCCGTCTGTTGGAAGTGCCTCTGAATCCATGTCAGAGGATTGTAGTCAAGGCCATAGTGAAGGCAATGAACCTCCAATCTTCCAATCAAGGATACAAAGCATAGGGGCATGACAACATTAGTCAATCACGCAGGCTGTACTGAGGCAATTTTTTTTTCTAGTTATTGCACATTTAATGTTATTACTGTATCATTTTATATATGTGTTATAGAGAGGTACAAATGTTTTATTAAGGTATTCCTTTTTTTTATTTTCTCTGAATTGTTTGATTCTAACTTTCTACTGAATTTTGTATTTTGCTTTTGCACTCTTTGACCCTTTCAGGGTCAAGACCCCTGATTTCAAACTTGTTCTCGGGGTTGATGAATTTAGAAACAAAAAAAAAATTTTCTTGTGAAATGGCAGAGAATCTTTTTCTGAAGGTAATGAAACCAAAAGTACAAAATTTGATGGGAAGCTTAGGGAATTACACTTGCAAATTTAACGATCTCGGCGATATTTATGCATCAGTGATTTCGCCCTCTTTGAGCCCGATTTTCAGTGAATTCCATTGTTCCCGTTGACGAAACTCATAGTTTATTTTGTTAGGGGTTTCGATCTATTCTATCGATTGTTTACAAAAAACCCCCCTTTAAACCCTTTTTTAATCCCAAAATAAAAAGTGATCAGATTTTGGGTTAAATTAGCCATTTAAAAAAAATTTAAAAAAAAATTCCCTTTAAGTTTAAAAATAGGGGTCAGATTTAAACATTAAAAGATTTCCTGGTACATGTACTTAAAAAACATCCTCAGTTCATAATTTCTTTCCCGGGGGCCTTTCCTTTATTGGGTTTTGCTTTCCTTTTTTTTTTTTTTTCCCAAAAAAAAAGGAAGATTTATTTTTTATGAAAAAACTACTGCTTTATTGTAAAAATTGAATAAATAATGTTGGCAAATTTGTAAAAAAGTATTATATTGGCCCAAAACCTAAGACCATGTCAGTAAATGAATTCTTTCAAAAAGTGAGGGCTTACTTTTTTAATGGTGGGTTTGTCCCAAACTATCTTTGATATTGTTTTAATGTAAATCTTTGCACCCATTTATACATTTTTTGGTATTTTTTTTAAAATTTGTTTATCCCAGTAGTGTACGGGTATATTGTAATAATCAAAAATGGGGAAAAAATCAGCTTAATAAAATTTTACAGTAGGGCCCCACTTATTCGGGGGTTTTTTTTTAAGGTTCTAGGTACTCCCGGAAAGAAAACCCCCTTTTTTCCATTTATAAAAATTTTCCACTAACATTTTTTAAAGGAAACATTTTTTACACAAACCCTATATTAATTTTGCAAAAAAACTAGGCTTTTTAAAAGTAAAATATACCAGTACCCCTCTTTAAATTTACCTCAAAATATTTGAGTTTTAAATATGGGGGCAAAAGGTGGAAATTTTATTCTAAGAAATCAGGTGTTTTACCCCTTCCTGCCCACTCCCCCCAAAACATACTATAAAACGAGGTTTAAAAGCCCCCTAGAGCGATAAAAATGCATTTTAAAAAATCCCAGTTTTTTAACCGGGCCCCCCAAAACCAAACGGTGGCATGACAAAGGGCCCAAAAAATTCGTTGTGGCATTCTTTGGCAAAAAAAATGGCTCTCCAAGGCAAAAAAAAACTCATCTAACGGCTTTCGCCCCCAAACGTTTTTTTCCATGTGGCCGGAGGTGGGGCCTGAGGGGGGCCCACCCAAATTCAAAGGGGACTCAGTGTTGCCATTGTTTAAAAAGGCTTTGCGGTTGATTCCACGTTTTCCAGCGATATATTTTGTATTTTTCCCCAGTTTTTTTTTAGTGTTTGTAACTGCAAAATAAGCCCCAGGGGCCCCCAAAGGGGAAAGCTTCTAGTGGCAAACCTGGGTAAAAAGGGTGAAAATTACTTTGGAAATGAAAAAAAAGAGATCATTGAAAAATATGGAAGTGGATTGCGTAGGGCCCGAGTTGGAAAGGCTAAACAAAAAACCCCCATTCATTCATCACTATTTCCCTTGGCGAACAAAAGGGGTGATAAAGGAAGCTGTTTTTGAAAAAAGGGGGCAAGTTTGTTTTAAAAACAGAGATCGCAAAAAATTTAAAGAGGTGAGGGGGACTGTTGTTGGTGTGGATAAACGAAAAAAACAATTACTTTATTGGGAGATAGTGTCCTTAGTCAGTAATATGTAAAAAGGCAAGGCAGTTGCATGATGATCTAAATTAGAAAATCCCTTTTCAAAATAGTGATGATATTGATGAATTTAAGGCCACCCAAAGGCGGGGTTTGAGGGATTTTAAGGGGGAAATTCGGCCAAAAAATTTTTTTTTTTTTTTATTTTTCGTTTCGTTTTTTCTTTCTTTTTTTTTTGTACGAAATAAAAAAGGGCCCTTTTAAAAATAGTAATGGGGACCAAGTTTCAATAAGATAGCTCAAAAAAAAAACCCTGAAAAAAAAAATTTTTTTATAATAATCATCCCTTTAATCTACATATTGCAAGGGTTCCCGTCAAAAGGGGGAATTGGGGGAAAGCTGTTTTGGCATTATTAGGGCATAAAAAAATTTTGTAAACTGTATTTTTTAATGGATTCCCGTTTTTGTAATTTATCCTTTCTTCATTTTTTAAAAAATAAATTTTGTATTTTTTTTTGACTTTCAGCCAAATATCGGGTTTTGCCCTCACATAAATTTAAAAAAAAAATTATGATATCTCAAAAAAAAAAACGATCCCCTAGCTTGTTTAAAAAAATCTTTCCTTTTTGTTCTCTGTGAATTTTTAACCCTTTTCCCGCTATTATTAACTTAGTTACTTGCTCTTTTATGTGAATAACTTACTTCCCAGATAAACCACGAAACAGGCCGGGCCCCCTTTTTTTTTTTTTTTTCCGGAAAAGGGGAAAAAACATTTTTCTCAGTCTTATACTGCTTCGAGTGTATATCATTTGTTAACCTGTTCGTTTTTTAATATAAGGGGCCCTGGGGGGTGAGAGAAAAAGAATGTAAGCCCCTCTTGAGAAAGGGGAAACTATTTTTCCCCCATGGAGCGTCTGGGAATATTTTCCCTATATTATTCATTCTGGAGTATTTACCATATTTTTTTTGGTTTTTTTTATTTTTTTTAAATTAAAGTCCCTTTTTAGATTTAATTGTGATTAGATAAATTTAAACCGTTTAAAGGGTTAAAAGCGTTATATTGGGGGCCATTTCCCGGCCACCCCGAGGGCGGAAAATTTTTCCCTGACGTCAGCAAAATGGGGGTCGGGGGGGTTCCTGGTTGGTTGGAAACTCTACGTATAAGTCCCCCCTACTTTTATTATGATGCCAAAACGTCAATTATTATTTAGAAAGAATAATACAGTAAATACAAGAAAAAAAAAAAGGAAAAAAAAAAAAAAATTAAACGACAGGGGGCACACCTGTCGCGGGTGGTGACGTAAAACCCCAAAGGTTTTTTTAAAAGACCTAATTCCCTTTTAGGAATGGGCGTTTGAACAATGATTCCGGTTCCCTTGTGTTGCCAGAGAGTTAAGCTAAATTTTTTTATAAGATTAACTTAGGGTTTTGAATTTTTTCGGAAAAAAATTTTTCGTTCGTTTTTTCCCGGAATTCCGCCTTAACCCCTTTCAGGGGCCAAGGCCCCCAAAACTGGAGGCACGCCCCCGTGTCCAAAAAATTTTCAAAAAAAAAAAAATTTGTTATTTTTTTTTTATGAAATCGTTTGGAAATTTTTTTTTGAAGGGAATAAAACAAAAAGTACGTATTTTGGGGGAAAAAATTGCGAAAAATTTTGCTCTCCCCGAATTTTGTTTTGACCCGCGAATTTTCGAATCGGCGATTTTGCCGACCCTTTTACTCCCATTTTAGGCCCAATTACATTATTCCAATTAACCAAAAAATTTTTAGGGGTTATTTCACTAGTAATTTCTTTTTATTCCCCGATTTTAGCCAAAAAATCGCCCGTTCAACTGTTTTTAACTACAAAATAAGTGATCGGAAATTGTTAATTTTGGGCCAAATTTTAAAACAAAAATTCAAAAAAATTCCAAATTTTAAAAAAAGGGGGCCCGAAAAAAACAATGTAGGCATTCCTGGCACTAAACTAACGTTTTCCCCTGTTTATTAGTTTTGTTTGGGCTTTACAAATAAAAATTTCCCTTTTGGGTTTTTTATTCACATAAAGAATTAAATTTTTAAAACCAAAAAAAAGAAAAATTTACTGTTATGCAAATTTCTGTAATAATTTATAAAAATATCACCAAAATTTGTGGGAAAGTATATTAGGGCCCCCCAGCTGAAGTGTATTGACGTGTGAGGTCGTTTGTTTTACTCTTGAATATCGGCAAAAAATTTTAAAATTTCCCCTCTTTGAGCTCAGTTTTTAAAACCATTTCCCGTGCTAAAAAACCCAAACAAAATCATCCTTTTTTCTGTAAAAGGTCTTCCTTTTTTCCCAAAAGGGGACCCAAAAAACGCAAATACAACTATAAAAAACATACGAAAAAACACTGCAAAGTTGCTGTTTTAATCGAAAAATCATGATTTAAGTTTTTTTCTCTCATTATACACGGTGTGCTGCAGGATCTGTTTTATGTGGTGCACACATACCACATAGATGTATTCTCTCATATCTAGGCCCAAATGTACCACTCACCGTTTATCAGAGTGAGCTGAGCTCATGGCGTAGATCTACGGTTTGGACCCTGAACGTAAAGCCGTAGATCTACGGGACGGACCCTGAAAGGGTTAAGAATCGCCGTGGCATACACAGTGTGGTGAGGCTGCCAGTTCAGACAAAAAAAGCGGCTGAAAAATATGTGCAGGACTTTAAGGATTACATAGACACTGAAAACTTAAAACATGAACAAGTGTTTAATTGTGACGAAACAGGCCTGTTTTGGAAGAAAATACCAAACAGGACCTACATTACTCAGGAGGAAAAGGCACTTCCAGGACATAAGCCTATGAAAGACAGGCTGACATAAATGTTGTGTAGTAATGCTAATGGTGATTGCAAAGTGAAGCCTTTATTGGTGTATCACTCTGAAACTCCCAGAGTGTTCAAGAAAAACAATATTGTTAAGGGTAATTTGTGTATGCTGGGGAGATCAAA